AAAAAAAAAAAAAAAAGAAAAACAGTGAATGGTACTTGCGAGAAAGAAAATGGCGATTTGGACGACCTACAAAAAGATGGCACACATACATCGAACAAGCGGTAGGTACTACTAACTGAAGGTGCACGCCCAAAGATCGAAAGACCTCGCAGAGATGAGAGCATTCCAATAACATCACTAACATGGCTTACCCTTATTCTAGCAATATTTTCAAAATTAAGCAAAAACTCATGAAAATGAAAGCATCGAAACTGGATGAGACTGACCTGCTGTGCTTGTTGCTGCTGTTGCAGTATCTGTGCAGCAAGGAATGGGAATGCAGCTGCAGCTGCAGCATTCGGTGGTGCACCCGGAAAAAATAGATTTCCAAAATCGGTAGCATTAGCAGCAGCAGTAGCACCAACTGATGAACCGTTTGCAGCAGCGGCGGCTGCAGCAGCAGCTGCTGCTGCTGCATTCAGGGCAGCCAGATTGCCAGCGGTACCGAAGAATGCTTGTCGGAATGGATCCAGAAGTGCAGCGGCTGCTTGCTGTTGCGATGGTGCTGATGGTACGCCGGCCACCGTTCCGGTTGCTTGTACACCACGATTATCCATCGAACTGGTAGCAGCGGCGGCGGCCGAGGAAGGTAATAACTCATTGCTGCGACCTGCAGTGAGTCCACTGGTGGCAACTGATAGCATTGGTGGTGCACCTGCTGCACCTAACCCGGAACCAGAGGCTGCAGCAGCAGCAGAAGCCGAGGAGGCGCAGCTACCGGATGATAAAATTGGTATGCTTATCGATGGTGCAACTGAGACACCCGGTTGTTGTTGACTTGCAACCACCGATGTTGACGGTGCATCGTGTCCCGGATCCACTGGATGTGTTGCTGCAACACAAAAAACCACGTTACGACGTTAGCCACCTCTTGTATTAACCGCCGAATCACATCGCACCACTTTCCGTCCCCACTTTGCTGCTGCGCCACCATCTATAGGCCTGCTTAATTTGGAAGATCTAAATGGCACTTCCAGTGTTTTCATTAATTATTAAAACTCGACTGTGCTCCTTTCCATAGCTGGGCCAACAACGCCAAACAAACTGCGTATGTTTACACACCGACGATTTCAGGCTCTCCGCCCTCTTCCAATCTCCTAGCCAGGGATATTCACTGTTTGTATCTCTAAAATTTCTACAACACACTTATTCAAACCTAAATTTTATTTTCCAAATGTGCATTTTCTATAAAAATAAAGTCCCCGGTGTTCCTACTTGAAAAAAAACATGGCCCGTCAGAACTGTTAGCTAGGGCGACATGGCCCTAGTTAAAGCAACCGTATGGGAAATTTGCCTGCCCATATTTCATTTGTCATTATTTAACTTATGATCTACAAGTTCTGCCTACTAAAAATGGTTCATTTTGAACACACATTCAATGTTGCTGCTTCAAGATATTTAGGCATGCGAAACTTCATACCCATTAAAAGTGTGAGAATAGATTGAGAACATTTCGTCTTCAATTCCTCCAATTATTTGCTTTACCGCTACTTTAGCAATACCCTAATTACTACTGGATCAGCTGGGCTCATCACGAAGCACAAAGTTCGCTGTTGCCCCGAGAAGCTCAACTTAGAAATTATGGGGTCGCGAGGGAAACGGTTGCCTGTTTCAGTGCCAGCAGCACGACCTTTACTTTGCCTACTCCTCATCCTTGCCCTGTTTTCCCCTCCCCCTCTTCTCGTCAACCCCGGGGAAAAACTAATTACCGATCACATCTCCCAAAAAACAAGTTTTAGTTGCACGAAAGAAAAAATGACAAAAATTTCATTCTAAATGGAATGAAGCAATAAAAGGTGGATGCATCATCAGTGTTTTCCCTTCTCATCATTCATCGGACACGTTGCGCATACCCTTCTTTTCTCTTTCGGAGAAAAAGTACACTAATTACCAACGAATCAGAAAATTCTTCCTTTTCTTTCATTTTTTGTTTTTGAGAACAAAAGCATCGCGGCCTTTTCAGAGCCAATTAGCATTACCACTGGTACCGGTAACATTACCGACTGCCACAAAAAGAGCAAGAGATTTTCATAAATTCAACAAATAAACACAAAAACTCAAAAATGGTTCCTCCCTCATTCATCAATGATAAAATTTCCCCACTCCAAAAAAGTTCTTTTTTTCTTACTGATAAAAATTTGCAAAATTTTGTCAAAAATCCATAAAAATCCCCGGACTTTACCCATCATTCATTCGATTAACAAAAAACTTCAGCAACATGAGATATAGCTTACTTTCAACGGAAGTGCATGAAGAAGGATCACGCGTGTCACCGGCTCCGTTTGTTGCTCCTCTTGAGAGCTGCTGCTGCTGTTGTCCGTTCCAGGATCCCGGAAGAGCGCCGGCAGCTGCACTTACAATACCGGCTGAGTCACCCGATGTTACAACTGTATTTGTACGGCCTGTTGCTGCTGCTGCAGGAATAACACTGGCACTGGATCGTGATGGTGATGCACTGATAACTGCTGCTGCTGCTGCGGCCGATGAGACGATTGCTCCAGACGATGGCTCTGTTTTCGCTGCTATTCCAATAAGACCATTCCTGAAAGATAACATGATAAAAATATTAATCTTTAACACACAAATATTTTTGGACTTATTC